GGGGGGGCCACCCCCGCTCACATTTTTCTCCCATGACTCAGAGTTTCTCCTCTATCCAGGCAGGGCAGGGGGAGGGAAAGGGGGAAGCGGCCGCAGCCAAGTCATGCTGGAGAGCACGGAAAAAATGAGCAGGTTTCTGTGGTTGGTAGCGTAAGCTCTTCCCCATCCTCCGATGGGAGCCGACATGTCCCCAGGGGATTTTCCACCAGCCACTCCCCACTCCTCTGGGTCCTTCCTGCACCGCAGCGCTGTGCCAAAGCAGCAGAGAAATTAATACCGAACAAAAATGCAGATGGACGGGTTGGGTATAGGCGACTCCTCGAGGAAATCAAGCACAGGAGGGCTCTCGCCGCCCAGCTTTCCTCCAGAAATAGCGTCAGGTTGCTCTTCTGCAAGCTCAGAGCTCCCTGCAACGCTCGTCTGAACTTGTTCTTGCTCCCGCAGCCCACAGAGACGGAACGCTGCATCGAGTCCTTGCTGGCCGTCTTCCAGCGGTACGCGGGACGCGAAGGGAGCAACCTCACGCTCTCCAAAAAGGAGTTCGTGGCTTTCATGAACACCGAGCTGGCTGCTTTCACAAAGGTGAGCAAAATCTAACCACAACCCTTGCCCCCACCAGCACCACGGCGTGGGCAAGGGGAAGAGTTTGATCCCACCAGAAGCCAGAGAGTGGCCTGATGGAGAAATTCTGCGTCTCTCTCTCCATCCCTCCCGCCTGGTTCCATACCTGGAGCTGGGGGATCTGGCCAGGGACACCTCTGCCTCGAGGGCGACATCGATTCCCATGTCTTTGGGTTTGTTTTTTTTTTCAGAATCAGAAGGACCCAGGTGTTGTGGACAGGATGATGAAGAAACTTGATTTGAACAGCGACGGGCAGCTGGACTTCCCGGAATTCCTGAACCTCATCGGGGGCATCGCGGTGGCCTGTCACGAGAGCCTGGTCAAAGCCCCCGGCCCCTAGTCCGTGCCTGCCCCCCACGCTGTGAACATTCCTGGACCAAGACTGATGCAAAGCTGGAAGCAACGCCCTCAACATCCCCATTCCTCATTTTTATGTATAAAATAAAAGGTTTCAAACCCTAGCGTAAGGCATGGCTTTATTTCGGCATCACAAGCGATGAGAAAATCGGTCCAGCTGCAGAGGGAGCAGGATTTTTAGGTCCCACCCTACCCTCTGCTTCTCCGCTGACACGAGAACACGCGTGTCCTCGTCCCCATCACTGCTGGAAACTAGGATCCATAGCAATCCTAAAGCGTACGACCACGCAGGGTAAATGCAACGACACGAGCATGACCTAGGAGGATAATTTGAGCACAAGCAACAGCAATTACACACTCATAATGAGCAGAAGCAGCCCCTGCTGGCATAAGAAATTATTTCAGGACTCCCGCCTCCATTTTCTGCAAATTTCAAAACCCTCCAAGTCCGGTAGGTTAAGGGGTGGGGAGATGAAAAGAGGAAATTAAGTCTAATCTCTCCTCTATCTCAGACCAACCGAGCTACCAAACAGGAAGATCAAGACTGTCATTTCACTTTATTCATCAGAGAAGCTGATTATTTGGAGAAATGTTGCTAGGACAACAAAACAAAGAGTCAACACGAGCACTCGGGTGCTGAGCTGCTCTCCTGCCGCTTCCGAGGGGAGCAGGGACAGGCTCAGTGCTGGCCCCGGTTCCGGACAGTGCCGCACTCCTGGGAGAGCCAAGCTCGGCTCTTCCCGCTGTACCGGCTGGTTTTTGAGCTCTTCTTTCAGGAGCCCAACACTAAAGGGTGTCAGAGGCAACTGCTGCCTCTCAAACGGTTTCTAGAGAGTGCAGGAACCAGGGCTCAGCAAGAGCCACCCTTTATCCTCTGGAAAATATTTGCCTTTCGACAACGGTACACAAAAACATCACGTCAGCTGGATTTGGAAACAGAAGAACAAGTTGCTACTACTCGGAAGCAGAGAGTCTCACGGGTGTGGGGACAGCACAGGCACGGCTACGGTGAAGGGACTAGACTAGGAGCTGGAAGGGTGGGAGGTGAGAGTTTCCACGTCGTGCTGGGAAACGGGACCATTTCCCTCTGATCTCACACCTCCCCGGGCCAGGCATGCCTTAGCGGAACTGGAGCGGGCTGATCCGCAGCCCGATGACATCTTTGCCGATCTCCGTCACCTGAGGAATGAAAAGGGAGATGATTAACGCGTAAAAGCAACTCAACAGCCCAACCCCGTACGCAGCGTTCAGAGCCCAGACGGTTCTTGAGAACACAGGCTGCCCGGTCGCGGCGATGTCCATCCCTAAAGGTGGCACTTAAACCACAAAGAATTTCACAATTCCCAACCTGCTCCACCTCAGAAGTCCTCCAACATTCCCCTCGACCCACAACCCAGTTTAGGGGGAGCAGGGGTCTCTGAAGTCCTCCAACATCCACGCCAACCCACAACCCAGTTTAGGGGGAGCAGGGGGGAAGCTGCTGGAGGAGATTCAGGATTTTCTTACCGTCGTGACGCGGCAGATCTGCCCGTGGAACTCGGGGCAGTAGCAAGCTCCGCTGAGCGGACACTTCTCCACGGGTTTGCCACGGTAGATGGGGCGGTAAGAAGCGGCGCAGATGTCAAAGGGGTTGTGCATGTCGTAGTTGAGCTGGTAGGTGTCGGTGGGATTCTTCTCACACGCTGATAAGATCTTGCGAGTCTGCGAAAAGCAACGAGGGGAGCAGGTCAGAAACAATCCAAGCAGGGTCTGCCACAGGAGATATTTCTGCCCGTGCACCTCACAGACGTACCTGTTGAGCCACCTCGGGCTTTGGACCCAGCTCCAGCAGCCGACGGGCAAAAGTAGCAGCTGTCTTGAAGTTTTTGAGTTTGAAAAAGAGGTTGAGAGCAGTCCGCAGCACCAAGATCATGTGGACGGGCTGCAGGTTGGAGTGGGTGAAATAAGCAGCCATCTGCATGAGGGAGAAGGAAAGAAAGTTGGGATAAACTACTACCAACCACGTGAAAAACTGGATGCTCTGAAAATGCTGCAAGAAAGCCCTCCCAGGTAATCCCTGCCACATCTCCTTGAAAGGAGGAAATGGCAGAATTCAGGATTTCCAACACCTTTTTAAACCCTAAGGCTACTTCCCCCTCATCTCCCTCACAGTGAGGAGGAGTTTTCATACCTCGCAGATTCGCTTCTGCTGCTCCAGGGTCTCTTTGGGCAACTTCTTCCGCTCAATTTCCATCGAAAGTCCTACAATATACTCCCGGCAAATAGCTATCAGCTGCTGGGCCTTTCGGAGAGGGAGACAAGGGTTAGGAACTTGGCCTCCCGCCCCACGGGCAGGCAGACAATGGACAGAGGAGTTTGTGTCTCACCTCAGCGATCTCCTGCTTGTTGTCTACCACCAGCAAGGGCACGCTGAGCAAGATGGAGCGGAACTTCTCCACGGCTTCCTCAAATTTGCCAGCTGTAGTAAGCTGGTAGCAAAGCTGCAGGCGCTGGATCAGGTTGTTGAGTTTCAGTCCAACGGCAGGGAGGGCGTTCTTCAAACCAGCTTCCTTCCTGGGGGGACCAGAGAGGGGTCGGGGGTACAAACAGGACTGCTGCAGAGGCCAGTAGGAACACAAATATTGTCAGCTCGCCTGCAACTGGTCAGAAATGTTTTGACCTAGGGCCACGCTTTTTTTATCTCGGCCGTTAGCTTAGCACAAAAGACATCTGCGCTTCCATAGTTTCGCCACCCGCAATGCCCAGTTCTCTCTGCATTAGCACAGGCTGGGAAGTCTGGCTCATTTTTCTCCCCGCCACCCGCAATACCCAGTTCTCTCTGCATTAGCGCAGGCTGGGAAGTCTGGCTCATTTTTCTCCAGCGGCTTCCATGTAAAAACACACCCGTGGTTCTCTAGATGCCTCAGACCGGCTTTGTCAGAGGCAGAGTATTGAAAACGCAGCATCCCAACTGCCTCACTGTGGGTTTAGTCTCTAAAAAACCATGAAAGCAGTTCTTTAACATCTTTACAGCTACGAAAAACCCCATCAACTGCCTCACCGTGGGTTTAGTCTCCAAAAAAACCATGAAAGCAGTTTCTTAACATCTTTACAGCTACGAAAAACCCCACTAAGGACAGAACGCTCCCTATTTATAGTCAGCAAACAGGAAGGCCCTCCCTTCGTAACAGAATTGAGGGGTTTGGGGGGTATATGGCACAAAGAGAAAAGCACAGGAAAGGAACTTATCCAGCTGCTTACCAGTTGCGATGTGGGTATCCGTACATGGCAGGGAGAGACGGCAGGGCTTGGTAGGTTGTACGGCCACGGGCATAGGTCTGCAGGAAGAGCTGCTTGTAGGGTCCAAAGTTTATCACTCCCACCTGGTCGTGCAGGAGCTGAAAAAGAAACATTGATCTGCTGAGTAAACGTTCTCCAGGGCTGTAAAAAGGCTACATCACGAAAGGATGCAAAACAAAGCTTCAAAGTGGATAAGAGACAAAACCACATGGGGACAAGGGCACAATTTTTCCCTAGAAACTCCAGGGGAAACTTACTCTCATCGCTGTCTCAAAGGAACCTGCCAGAATGTGGTCAACAGGAAGCTGAGAATTGTTACACCACACCTACAAGAAGGGAAAAATAAAGAGGAATTGTATATAGGCACACATTTGTCTTACCTACCCACCCTTAACACGTTCCTACGTTGTGCTCAAAGACGGGTGTTCACAAGAAGGACTGAACCCACAAAAAGAAGGGCCAAAGTAGAAAATTTCTGAGAAAGACAATGAAAGACCAGTGTCATCACCTGAGCTGGGCTGGTGCCTTTGGTGGGTGGCACAAAGAATCCATCCTCTGCTGTTCCTGCTGGACCAGCCGGAACATCCTGGGGGAATACACAGAGCAGTGATTAGCGTGGAAGTTTCCAGCATCCAGATGAAATCAGAGCTGGCCACAGCTGTGGTGAGCAAGGCTCTGAAGAAGCCCAGGACACATTTTCCCCACCACCATCACCACAAGCTGTCATTGTTTTCCCAAGTAACTACAACTGGGCTACTTAAGAAGCCTCCAGAAGCCTCCTACCAGTTCAGGGGGAAGATCCAAATCTTCTTCAACTTCCCATCCACCTCCTTCTTCCTGTCCTTTACCTACACCTTCCTCTCCAAAGCCTTCTCCAGCATCCACAAAGCCATCTGCACGGAGGGGACAAGGGAGAAATACTCAGAGCTCTTACACAGACACGTATTTAGACTTCTGCAAGAAAAACTCTTGGATTCACCCACCTTCATCCAGCTGCAACTCTGCATCTTCTCCCCAGCCTTCAGTGCCAACAGTGTCGATATCGATATCAGCAGCCAGGGCACCCCCTTTGCCTACAAAAAGAGGAGGAGCCTTCATTTACTCAGAGGAGGAGCCTTCATTTACTCAGAGGAGGAGCCTTCATTTAGTCATCCCTGAGTGGGTCAGGTGTTGAGCAAAGAATTAGGCTAGGCCAGCACGCTCCCCTTCAATTCTCAAGTCTCATCTTGTGCTAAAAGGCCAAAGATTTGTGAGATTTGTCAAAGAGTTGCGAAATTTGCCAAACATGGTGTAAATGCCCAGCTGGATTCCAACCTCTGCCAATAACACACAACAGATCTGAGGTTAACAGCAACAGCTCAGGAGCCACAGAGACAAACATCCCAGCATATCCCAGCTTATCGCAGCTTTCCCAGTACAAAGCAGTACCTTTGCTGGCAATTGTTCCCTCGAAGAACCCCTTGGAGACGGTCAGCAACGGCCAGTTGGTATCCAGAGGCATGACCGGAGCAGGAGGCTGCAGGAGTTTCGCGTTGTGATCGATGTCTGGAATCTGAGCAGAGAGGAGCAGCAAACACTTAAAGGCCACATAAGGAAAATCCCGTTCTTTGACCTTCCCGTCTCCAAGCGGCACAGTCTCCAGCAGTGACTGGGATGGAGATGGTTCCTCCCTGCCCAAAAGGAGCTGCCTAGCCAGTCACGCTA